GATATGGTGGTCCTACTTGCAAATTCAAACAAGATACGAAAAAGATATAAAATCAATAGGTTTTTATAAAGAACAGACCCCCATTGGATAAAATTTTGTTAAAAACAGATGAGAATTTGATTAGAAAACTCTATAAATTTCTTCTAAACTGGAAGATGGAAGAAGAACAAGTGAAAGAAACAATGATAGTATGGGCAAAGAATTTTGGATATTCTTAGGTTTGGAAGACTGCAAAAACTTTGGGATAAAAACATTAAGTTTACAAAAGCGGTAGCATATAAAGAAAACTTATATAAGATGTTCTATAGATGGCATATGACACCAGTTCGCTTAGTGAAAATGTTTAAAACTGTTTCGGATACTTGCTGGAAACGTAAACAACAGCCAGGCACTTATTACCATGCCTGGTGGACATGCCCTATCGCTAAGAAATATTGGTCTAAGAGTCATAGATGGCTGGAAAAGATGATGAAACTACAAATAGAATTTAAACCAGAATTGTTTTTGTTAGGAATATTAAGACCTAATTATGGTAAAGAGAATGACTATTTGATATTGCATGTTTTAACTGCTGCAAGGATAGTATTTGCCCAATTTTGGAAAAATGAGACTACCATCTGATCAGATTATTATTACCAAAATTCTAGAGTGTGCAGAAATGGATAGACTAACATTAGAAATGAAAGAAAAAGATGATTCAATTTATTTTAGAACTTGGGAAAAATTTTATCAATGGTTAGAGACAGGTTAGAACTTGAAGGATTTAATATTTTAGAATAGATGACTAATTTTTAATCGAGTTCTAACTAACATTTGGATGATACGATCACTTTTCCTGATTTACTGATTTTTATTTGTTACTTTTGATTGTTAGGATTTTTTTTTATTTCTTTTTTGTGTGTGATTTTATTAGTAGTGTTTACTTAATAGATTAACGTATTTGTTTACTAATTATTTTTAATATGTTACAGTTTAAGCTTTGTTAAAAATAGTTGAATATGATACTTACTCATTATTATGAACCGGACAGTTGCTTGTTTGTTGAATATGTGATTGTACCTATCCTTATTTTATCCTAATCCCCTTTTTCCTCCCCCTCCCCCTTTCCTTTCTACCCTTCCCTTTACCATACCTGTATTTTTCCTATTTTTCCTTACCTACATAAATTTAATAAAATTTTGTTTAAAAAAAAAGAATTATTGTATTAATTATCTTTAATTTTAAAAAAGTTTAATTTAAGAGAGAAAGACAGAGAGACTTTGGTTTCACTCACTAGCTCTTATGTGCTACTAAAAAGCCAACTCAGCTCCCAATCTGAAAAAAGTCAGATATTCCTGATAGCCATTATAGCAATAGGTGTTCATCACTAATTGCTATACTGTTACACATCTGTAAAATCAAATTTTGGCATGATAGATTATGGTGTTATTGGTTTGAAGAACTGACCACCAATAAATGAATATTGCTAAACAATTCTTCCAAAGTTAGCTAACAAGTATCAATATTAGAGTAAATAATATTTTTATCTCACCATATTCGGTAAACGAGACATTATTTCTGAAACAAAGTAATCTGGTGGTCATTTATAGCTATTGGTAATAGGAAAATATAAATTCTGTCCTCTTAGTTGTTCAATTCTGACAACTATTTTACGAATTGGGTGGTCTATCAAAATCTGTTATAACGCACATCATTATAGCAAAGTATAGCATGTGAAACAGAGCGTACCACACTATCTGTCTAACCTGATATTCATATTCACTAAATAGTAATTAAAGCCTTTTTTATCTGATGACTGTAAAGGAGGAGGTATTCTGCAGGAGACAAGCTCTGAAATGGTGGACTGCTTCCTTCATGCCAGTAGCTGCACAAATCTTGATGACTCTTGTTCACAGCAGGCATTATGTTCTAATTTCCTTAAACCACAGGATCCAAGCTTGAATTCACATTGTGTCTGAACTTATGTATTCAGTATGGATAAAGAGGCAGACTTTTATATTTATTATTTTGAAGTAGAATTGGTACAAATGTTCAAATTCTTTAAGCTAAGATCATTGTTGTTATTATGGTATTAATTCCTTCATCTTAGCAATCTTTTCTAGACCACCTAGTCAAAGCAGCATTTTGTCTGTCTCATAGTCAAATGGTTTCGCTTGAATTCAATTTATAATGTGGTGTAATCTTCTTGTTACATGCAATGCATGTTTTGGCATTGTTTTAATCTCAGAATCAATTCAGGCTTTACAGATCAGCCAAAGTCAGAAAGCTCCTCGTTATATGCTGTACTGTTCAAGGAAAACAGCATGATAAACAACTCTGACCGACTATAAATTGATTTACTTTCTTCTGGATAAAGTATTCAGAAACAAACAATATTTATATAAAGAATCATTTACTTCTGTAACTAAATAATTTAGAAAACAATAGGTTTTGCCTAAAGGTCAATGCCAGGAAAAGTTTCAAATTTTAAAGAAGCATAAAAATATTGTGTGGGACACAAATAGGGCTTTTCAAAGAGAAGGGGCGTTGACTTACCTGAACGCCTTTTCTCAGCACGGAGATGGATAATCCACCAATGGGTTGAGACTGTATTCCTGCCCAATCAGATCAGTCAGCCAAAGTTGCCACGCCCATCCTGGACCACAAATTCCCAGTCTTGACACGAGCGAAGCCATTGACTGACAGTAAGACGTTTTGGCTCGAACTAAGTATCCCTAATTATCCCTGTCTAGAAGGGTGGGTGTGGATTATCCATCTCCGAACTGAGAAAAGGCGTTCAGGTAAGTTAACACTCTTTCTCTAGCACTGGAGATGGATAATCCACCAATGGGACATACCAAAGCCTATTGTCCCTCGGGTTGGGGAGTAGACTGGTCCTGTGTGGAACTTTGGTCTAACCCCTGCTGGAGAACTCCTACCGAAGGAGGCCTCTGCAGAGGAGTATTTGTCGATTTTGTAGTGGCGAATAAATGAAGAAGGCGATGCCCAAGTGGCCGCCCTGCAAACTTCCTCAATGGAAGCTTGCATGGCCCATGCTGCCGATGTGGCAGCACTCCTTGTGGAGTGAGCCGTGACATGCCTGGGGACCGGCAAGGCCTCCGCCTGGTATGCCCCAGTGATGCATACCCTAATCCACCTACCAATGGTGGAGGAAGAGACCTTCTGGCCCCTAGAGGAGGGGTGGAAGGATATAAAAAGCGCTTCTGAGTGGCGGAACTCTGCTGTACGTGAAATGTAATATCCTAGCGCCCTGCGTACGTCCAATGTATGCCATTGTCGTTCTAGGGCATGAGTTGGGTTTGGGCAAAAGTCCGGTAGGACTATTTCCTGCGTTCTGTGAAAAGGGGAGTTGACCTTTGGGATGAAGGAAGGGTCTAGTCGCAAGACTACCCTGTCCCTGTGAAAGTGACACAGGTCCTTCCTTGTTGAAAGAGAAGCTAACTTGGATATACGCCGAGCTGACATGATAGCTACTAAGAATGCTACCATGTGGGTCAAGTAGCGGATGTCACATGTTTTGAGTGGTTCGAATGGTGCTCTGGTGAGAGCTTGCAGTACTCATGGTAGCTCCCACGATGGGTATCTGTGCACGGTTGGTGGTCTAATGTTCGCAGCCCCTTTGAGGAAGGAGCAGATTAAGGGATGCTTACCCAAGGGTTCAGCAGGGCTGGCCGAAAGTATTGTTGAGAGGGCGGCGATCTGCCTACGCAGCGTGTTTGGCGCTAGGCCCCTCTCTAGACCGCCTAGTAGGAATTCTAGGATGTTGGGGATTGTAATCTTTTTGAGTGGCAATCTTTGTTCAGAGCACGATTGGAAACTTTTCCACGTGGCCTCGTAGATACAGTTCGTGGATGGGCGCCTTGAAGCCTGTATAACCCTGATTACGCCCTGTGAGCAAAACCCCCCAGTTAAGATTGACCGCTCAAGTGCCAGACGGCTAGTTGTAACCATTGTGGTTCTTGGTGGGAGATCGCCCCCTGACTGAGAGAGATCCTCTCCGGAGGGATTCGCCATGGATTTGCGCGAGAGAGACTCCTCAGATCTGCGAATCAAGGCCTCCTTGGCCAATATGGGGCCACAAGAATTACCTCGGCCCGTTCCCGCAGAATCTTGCGTACTACCGCCGGAAGGAGAGGTAAGGGTGGAAATGCATATAGGAGCCCCCTTGGCCATGAGCTCTGTAACGCATCCGTCTGTTCTGCTCCCCTGGATGGGAATCGGGAGAAGAAGCGAATCAGTTGGGCATTGGACGGGGAGGCAAATAGGTCTACCTGAGGAAGACCGAAGCGGTGGCAGATCTCCCTGGTGTCAGAAGTGGGATCTGAAAAATAATCCACCAATGGAAGAGAACTATACCTGCCTAGGAGCCAAAGTTGCACGTCTGATTCCTGGGCGAGATCAGTCAAGACTGGGAATCTCGTGGTCCAGGATGGGCGTGGCAACTTTGGCTGACTGATCTGATTGGGCAGGAATACAGTCTCAACCCATTGGTGGATTATCCATCTCCAGTGCTGGAGAAGGCTATTTTTCTTCAGTTCTATAATACCATATAATGTGAGACTGTGCCCTAATTCATACATTCCTCAGCAATAGATAATAAAATAGTGTAATAGTGGAAAGCATAAGTTCTTCCTACTTCCTCACATTACCTCTTACAAATATTTTACCTTTACACAAAATGGCACATTGCACAGGATACAAATATTTCACAGGGCTTTCCTATGGAAGGGTTCACTCACTGAAGCTATATGTACATGTATGTGTGGTTTCATTATTCAATCACCATGAAGTTATTTCAGCACCTGACACTGGTGAATATATGAACCATAGGACCATAGGATTCTTTCCTAGGTAACATAATAGCTTGTGAAAGACACCAAAGGAATAGAGTCACCTTATATATTATAAACTGATAACAGACACTCTGAAGGTGATCTATTTAGTTAAACAATCTTCTTTAAAAATGCAAAGGATCCAATGAACTAAAGTTATGTACCTACCTATTTTTAAGTCTTGATTGAGGCGAGAATATTTTGAACGCTCAAGAGAAGGTAGACACTGCTCAAGGGATATCCAAGTATACGTCTCTGGACATAGTAAATCAGAAGGTCTATACTGTCCCTGCAAAATCAAGAAAATATAGCATGCCATTTATCAAATTCAAATATCTCTTTGTCCAAGATGTCTCCTGAGTAATATAGATATGAAAACTTAATAAAATAATCCTGCTACAGTATGTAGACAAATGTAAATTTCTCTAAGCATGTAGCTTTTCTGCTGGGATGTCCAACTTTGGCCAATCTAAAAAAAAATTCTTGGTTTGTGCTTGGATATGAAAACATAAGGAATCCCCTGGGAAATTAGACTGGGGAGCTGAGAAGACAATTTAGAAGAATGCAATGTACACTGGAAAGAAGACAAAATGGGCATATCTATATGACTATTAGAGGGTCTCTTTATCTTTTACTGCATCTCCTTACTTTTTTTTAAAAAAAAATTGATATTGCAAAGGTAATAGTAATTACAATTATCTTAATTTGGCTGGCTGCTGCTGTAGCAGAAATATACTGCACATTAAGAACAATTTGTTTGACAGTTTATTGTTTTGAGAAGATAAAACAGAATGAACCCAATACTAAATAAAATACACATTGAGCTGTCACCTTGAAGCTACAAGTCCCAGAATTTCTACCAGTTTCTGAGAATTCTAGCATTTGCAACCCCAACCAAATTGGAGGGTATCAAGTTGGGGAAAGCAAATTTGGAGAATGAACTCTCAAATCTGCTCTTTCACTTCATCTGTCTTAACCAAATGGAAACAAGTTCTAGCTGAAAGGCTAAAAAAACAACCAACCAACAAACAAAAAATCAGGATATTTATATAAAATGAAAATAGTGATCATTTATATCAACATTACTTCAACCATAGTCATTTACAAGATGTGTAAAGATAATGAAGTTAATATGATGGATTGCTTTGGATTTAAAGGCAAAAGGCTATTTAAGAGTTCACAAAGGTCCAGATTTAGCACAAGTAAGGAATTTATTAAATCAAATGCTCTGAGGATGATGTTGCAATAATGGAGGACAACCATGTCTAGGAAAAGTGGCAGCTTCTTTGAAAGGAGTTGCTGAGAAATGCTACATCTGGACTACTATTTCTTCCAAAACCACGCTGTCCCTTCAAAACTAAAGCCCAAACTTCTCTAGAAACAAACTAGCATCCTCACTGATATATAATCCATCAATGAAAGTAAATCTTAAAGCAGTTCTGTAAAATTAAATCTTTCCCAACACATCTGTTTCATCACAGATATTGCCACTTTAATCAAAATGAAGTAGCAGCTTTTCTGATTAACATATTTTATTAAAAGCATTTATTGAAAGCATTAAAAGAGTTAATTGATACAGAACATCCCTGTCCCCAGCAATCTAAAAACCATAGGGCTATCAGTGCATGTAACATAGATGTATGTGTGGACAAGAATATCAACCTTGCTGTCAAGCAAAATCAAGCTTTTAATAGCAAGTGCCACACAAAGTACACTAACCAAATAGATGGTAAGACAATAGGGGAACTCAGGCACCACACAGGTTATGTAGAAAGTAAACACAGGGTCAGTCATAAAGGACTCAAATGTCTATACACCAATGCACAGAGTATGAACACAAACAGGGTGAACTAGAAATTCAGGTTAATGAAGGCAGATATGATATTGTTGCCATTACAGAAACATGGTGGGATAAAACCCACAAATGGAACATACAGCTAGAGGGATTTAAATTATTTAAAAGAAACAGACCAAATAAAAGAGGAGGTGGAGTTGCTTTACATATAAGAAATAACTACATCTCTTCAGAAATAGAATACAACGATGAAAACTGTCTTGAATGCATTTGGGTCAATATAAAAGGGAGGAAAAAAAATGACATTGCCATAGGTGTATACTATAGGCCACCCAACCAAACAGAGGAAATAGATGAACTTTTGTTAGTCAGCTAACTAAGGTATGTAGGAAGCACATCACAATAGTAATGGGGGACTTTAACTACCCTGACATTAACTGGGAGACAAATTCTGCATCAAGTGGAAGATCAAACAGATTCCTGACAAACCTAGTGGACAACTTTGTCCCCAAAAAGTATAGACGGGAACTAGGGGATTAGCCATTTTGGATCTAATCCTCACTAACAGAGATGAAATGATAGAAGGTGTTGAAGCCACAGGAACCTTGGGAAGTAGTGATCATGCAATATTGGAATTCAACATTATGGAAGCACAAGCAATAGAACACAGTCAAACTAGAGTCTTGGACTTCAAGAGAGCTAATTTCAATAAACTTAGAGAGGGCTTGGGAAGGATTCCATGGATGAGAATCCTCAAGGGGAAAACAACTCAAGAAGCTTGGTAAATTTTGAAAAATGAGATAATAAAAGCCCAGTCTAGCACAATACCAACAAAGAGGAAAAATAACAGTTCTCAAAAGAAATCAGCATGGCTGCATAAAGAACTCTCTGACAAATTGAAAGATAAAAAGGACAAGTATAGAAAGTGGAAAGAGGGGCACATACTGTAACTAAGTCAGAATATCAGCAAAGAGCCCAAGTCTGCAAAGATGAAGTGAAGAAAGCTAAGGCTCATAATGAATTAAGGCTTGCGACCAAAGTCAAAAATAAACAAAAAAAGAGATTCTTTCAACATGTAAAAAACAAGAAAAAAGTGAAGGAAATGATTGGTCCATTAGAGAGTGAAAGTGCCAAGAAGGTGACAAGCAATAGGGAGAAAGAACTATTTAACTCGTTTTTTGCATCTGTCTTTACACAAAGGCAAAAAACAGACAGACCTATCAAAAATAGTGCCATAAAAGTATAGAAACACAAGTTAAGATAGGCAAAAAAATGGTAAGTGAGCACCTGTCCAACCTAGATGAGTTCAAATCACCAGAACTAGATGGATTACATCCCAAGGTTCTCAAGGAACTGGCACATGTGATTTCAGAACCACTGAACTATATTTTTCAAAGATCCTGGAGCACTGGAGAACTACCAGAGGATCTGGACAGACTTGAACACTGGGCGCTATCTACCAAAATGAAATTCAATGGTGAAAAAAAGTAAGGTTCTACATTTAGGCAAGAAAAACGAAATGTACAGGTATAGTATAGGGGGTACCTTGCTCAATAGTAGTAACTGTGAGAGGGATCTCGGAGTCCTAGTGGACAATCATTTAAATATCAGCCAGCAGTGTGCTGCAGCTGCCAAAAAAGCCAACACAATGCTGGGCTGCATTAACAGAGGGATAGAATGAAGATCACGTGAAGTATTAATACTACTTTATAATGCCTTGGTAAGGCCACACTTGGAATACTGCATCCAATTTTGGTCACCACGATGTAAAAAAGATGTTGAGACTCTAGAAAGAGTACAGAGAAGAGCAACAAAGATGATTAGGGGACTGGAGGCTAAAACATATAAGGAACGGTTGCTGGAATTGGGTATGTCTATTTTAATGAAGAGAAGGACGAGGGGAGACATAATAGCAATGTTCCAATATATCAGGGGCTCCGACAAAGAAGAGGGAGTCAAGCTATTTTCCAAAGCTCCTGAAGGCAGGACAAGAAGCAATGCATGGAAACTAATCAAGGAGAGAAGCAACCTAGAACTAAGGAAAAACTTCCGGACAGTTAGAACAATTAACCAGTAGAACAACCTGCCTCCAGAAGCAGAGGATGCTCCAACACTGGAAGTTTTTAAGAAGAGACTGGACAGCCATTTGTCTGAAATAGTATAGGGTTTCCTGCCTGAGCAGGGGGTTGGACTAGATGACCTCCAAGGTCCCTTCCAACTTTATTATTATTATTATCTACTCCATGAACTGCATGAAGCAAGGTGAAGCCAGTGGTGGGATTCATCTGGTTTGCACCACTTTGGCAGAACCGGTAGCTAATTTTTTGTTGCCCAGGCGCAGAATGGACTTCCGGAAGCAGCATCCACACAGAGAACTGGTTGTTCATGTATTTGAATCCCACCACAGTCATGAAACTGGCACCTTTTAATAAAATTTGCTCGTGAAAGCTTATACCTTTTAATAAAATTTGTTAGCTGAAAAAGAAGCTCCTCCTGATTTTTTTTCTACCATAGACCAACATGGCTCTCTTTCTACAATGCAATCTCAATGTTAAGCATTTGGAGCATTTTTCTTTGTACAAAATAAAATCTGAAATAGCCCATATTTTACCAATCAGATTAGTCATTCGAATCTGGAGGAGGAAATTTTTGAGCCAAATAACTAATTTCAGGATAATCATTTATACAGAATGTATGAAAAAATATTTTAAAGAAAATCAAACTACCCATAACAATGCCAAATTTTAGGTGATATTACATACTTTCAGCACAGAAGATTTCAACTTTAGGCACAGAAAAGCCTAACTGATACTGAAACTAGACAAATCAGGCAAGCAAACTTAACTATAACAAGAACTATAAATATGGAATAAATGTCAACCTCATGATTGTATAGTGAATCAAAGGCAACCTTTACTTACAGGTAATCCTTGACTTATGACTAGTCACTTAATGAGTGTGGAGTTTTAAAAAAAGCTTACAATCCATCCTTGAAGTTATGTCTGCCACCTCAACACTGTCACAACGACCGCATTTCAGGCATTTGGCAACCAGCTTGCATTTATGATCAGTTGCAGAGTGCTGAGGTTATGTAACCAAGATTTGCAACTGTTTTGCCATTTTCTGGCAGGAAATGCCCATTGGATATATTCATTCAACAATCAAAATTCACTTTACAAAAGCAGTGACTCACTTTACAACCATCGTAAAAACACATGCAGAATTGAGTCTGGGCATGTGATGACCTAACTGCTGATTACAATGACTTGTGACCAAAATTCCAGGCTCCACTGTAGTCATAAGTCAATCACTATCTGTATTTTATAACAGTTTTAATTTAGGTTTGTCCCTGGAGAACGGGCTATTTTTACAGCAGATGCAAACAAATATTAAGCAATGATCTAACATATGGTTTGAATTCCATATCCACATATCTAGTAGGGAAGAAACAAGAAAAAGAATTGAAGAAAACTATCACCTACCAGTCATCCTAT